TCTCTCTCTCTCTCTCTCTCTCTCTCTCTCTCTCTCTCTCTCTCTCTTTTTTGAGACAAGGTTTTTCTGTGTAGCCCTGGCTGTCCTGGAACTCACTCTGTAGACCAGGCTAGCCTCAAACTCTCAAACTCAGAAATCCGCCTGCCTCTGCCTCCCAAGTGCTGGAATTAAAGGCGTGTGCCACCACCGCCTGGCAAGAGCCTATCTTAAAAATACACTGGAAGAGGCCTGTGGGATGGCACACACACACACACACACACACACACACACACACACACACACTAATAATTAGTCTCCTTTTTAAAGCTTCTAATTCAGCACTGCCCAGTTTGCACAGTGTACCCTACCAAAGCTCTTCTGTAAAAGAGCCCATCATAGCCCATCCTAGAGCTCGCTCTTGCTATTGCTGACTTTGCAAGAACTGATCTAAATAGGGAAGTCACCGGACTCGGGGGCTTGCATAAGATAGGCAAGGCAAGACATAACAATGTCATCAATACCATGAGGTTAATTTTTTTTTAGGCAAGGTCTCCTCCATCCCAGCTCTATGTAGACTAGTTGGTCTTGAACTCACAAAAATCCACCTGCCTCTGCCTCTGCCAGGATTAAAGGTGTGCTCTACCATGCTCACTCACAGTTACCAACTTACCCAAACTTTGTTTCCTGGATTCTCCTTCTGACGGCCAGAGAAATATATAAAATCAACCCGATGAAAACAAATCCACAGAAGCAGCCGAGGATGATGAGCATAGACTCGGTGTTGCCAGGAGCTGGGGTTGATGAGGGCGCGTAATCTACCCTACCTGGAACACACCCAAAACATGCATTGGAAATAGTTTTCTGGGATTCAAAGTATACAGAATACATGAACTTGCAAATCCTTTACCATTTTGTGAGCAATGAATGCAGATCATTCTCACTTTGTGCAAGGTGAAATGATTCGGAGTTTTAACTATCTGTGAAAGTAGAGGCTGGAGAGATGGCTCAGGAGTTAACAGCACTTGCTGCTCTTGCAGAGGATGGAGGTTTAGTTTCTAGTGCCAATGCTGGATGGCAGAACCGCCTGAATCTCCAGCTTTGAAGAGTTCCGACACCCTCTGTGGTC